TGAAATCTATGTTATTGGCCAAATCTTACTTTTGAAATACTGTTTTTGGTCCCACAAAGGCGAGGCTGCCTTTCACTCTGATAATTTGCAGACCATAGCATCCTTCTTGACAACTAAAGATCACAAGCTTTCCTGAAGAGTCTGGGGTCTGTTTCACTACAATTTCTATTTTTTCCTAACAATTCCTTTAACTTATCAGAGTCCTAGACTCGAGTAGGCTGGAAGGGATTTCCTTTCCAGGATGGTAAGCTAAGGACTCTGCATCAATTCGGCCAAGACTTGCACTCTGCATTATTTTTCAAAGATTTTACATTGTTACAGCAAGTGGTGAGGCATCTCTGCAGGGCATGGGAGTTCAATTACCAGATTTTTCCTTCCAACATACCACTAAGAGCAGAGACGTAGCATACATATCACATTTCACATACACAACAACTGCAGTGACGTTTTTTGTGCTGCAGACATAGAGACAGAAAGAAGGAGATTAGGATATAACAAATGAAGTCCCATATTGGAGAAGATATTGGCTCAAGAATATCAGACACATACACATCAGCACATATGGCATTACACAATCTTTTCTGTATTTTAAGAATCAAATTGTCTGATAGAACTTTGCTCATATTGGCTACAATGTTCTAAACTATTTTTGCTCCCCTTTAACAACAGGTGCTCTTCCATCTTGTTCTTAGATTAGAGAAATAACAGGTGGAGTGGACAGAGTACATCTGTGAGAGTTGAAAGCTAGGAAGGCAAGGAGGAAAGGAAGGAAGAGGAGGAAGGAAGGAAGGAAGGAGGAGGAAGGAAGAAGGAGGAAGAAGGAAGGAAAGGAGAAGGAAGGAGGAAGGGAAGGAACGGAAGGGAAGCGAAGGAAGGAGAGAGACCAGGAGGAGGAAGGAAAGAAGAAATCACCACAGGATTTATTACCTGGGGATTTGACCTAAAAGCTGAAGGAAGGAAGGAAGGAAGGAAGGAAGAAGGAAGGAAAGGAAGGAAGGGAAGGAAGCGAAGGAAAGAAGGACAGGGAAGGAAGGAAGGAAGGAAGGAAGGAAGGAAGGGGGAGGGAGGAAGGAGTGAGTAAGGAAGGAAGGAAATAAATTATTTCTTTCATGTCTTCTCCGGTTTTTGGCCAGAAGAAATTGGAGGCATGATCTTTGAGCTGCTGGAGACTGCTCCTGTGAAGTCAGCAGCTTCCTTAAGTTTTAGATGAGGCCCGAAGGATCTAAAAAAACTTTGTGGGCAGTTGGAGGAGCTATAGCCGGCGACAAGCTACGCTGTGCCCTGTGCATCCAATCTGTTACTCTTCAGAAGCCCAGACCACTAATGGGAGAGTCTTATTTATAGTGCTCTCCTCTCCCAGTGTGTCCAAATAGTACAGAATGTGGGGGAAAAAAATCATATTGAGGAAGAGCTAAGTAAGACATCCAATTTTCTTCTCTGGTAAGCTCACTCTTGAGAAATGCAACACTAAGCTGCATTCGGGAAGGAATGATAATCGTGTTTATTCTATAAAGTCTGGTAACGGATTTCTAATGCCGTTCCCTCATTCATGCCGTCTTGACACAGGGAGGTAGGAGGATTCGGTTAATTCCACATTTGTCAGCTTCCCGTTCTCTTTTTCCGCTTTAAAGGATATTTCAAGCCATCCTCTGAGGCTAGTACTTGCTCTGAATATGAGCATGTATTTCCTTTATTAACCAGCTTCTATGCCCTCGCCACTTTAGTATCAGTAATATGTTTATGATTAGGGATATGACATTCGGAAACTCAAGGAGGATTTTCTTCGCAAAGAAGGTGCGCAATAAAGAGTTCCTCCCCAGCAGCTTCG